CTGCAGTCTGTCTTTTTATATCGAGGACTTTTTTTAAAGTTCTGTTAATCTATAACTAAGTAGTGACTGAGTCTGTCTTCATATCTCAGACTAATAACGAGCCAAGATCTTGCCCAGAGTGGCAGATAGTGCGAACACCATTGTAATATGTTCAAAGTGCATATCAGGCGTAATGTTAACTAGGTAACGTAAGAACTGCTTTGAAATGTCAGCTGTGAAGTTCTGAACCATACATCATGCATGAGGAGGGATGCAAATAAGTTCCCCGTACTACATAGCAACCATTTTTTTTAATGATGTAATAGTTCCAGGCTATATACTGTTTGGTTTTTGTCTTGCATTGCAAACTTAATGATGTTTAAGCTGCAGTTTTTATTACTTGTGTCGGTCTCCAGTTCAATGCAAGATACGTTCCTGCCAGAAAAACGCAGCAATAACGTGTAAGCCTTGCAATGAGTTTTAATTTTAGATCACAAGTGTTTAGGCAAAAATCTAGCACTGATTTTGCTGTCTTGCGATAAAGAACAAAAATTGCTTCACCTTCACTCTAAGACACTTGAAGACATCTTTTAAATCTCAAAAGGTTTTTTGTTACTTCTGCAATGCACATATTGGAGAAAGGAGAACTTTTTTTTTTTTTCTTTCCATTTTGTAGACTCCCGAATGGGCAAGTTTAGTGCTAAGCTTTAATAGAGCTCAGTGTTTCTGACACCCGTTTTGAGGAAATCGCTTCTGGGTTTAGTTCTGCGGGGCTGGACGTGACGCGCGCGAGTAGCTGCAGCCTTCACCCTCCGCCTCGCTGGCGCGTGGTTGTGTCGTCCTCGTCCTGCCCGAAGGGAGCCGTGCTGGCTCCTGCAGCCCATTGAGGAGCTGGAGCAGAGCGGGAGCGGGAGGAGAGAGGGAGAACACGACTATGAATGTAAACTTCCACAGCTAGTTCTTAAAGGGCACGCGGCTCCCCTGTCCTGGCACCGCTTTCGGAGGTGGCTGGCGAAAAACCCACCCAGAGCAAGTGTTTGTATCAGTGTAAAATCTCATTCAAGTATTAATACTGGGTGCAAAAAAAAAAAAAAAAAAAAAGTAAAGCAGCTGGTTCTTTTTCAGCCTTAAGGATTAACTTTAGATTTCCTCAAGGAGTTAAAACTTGCTTGGGGAATTCTAGGAATGTATGCTACAAAACCAGAAGAAAATGGCTTTTTTTTTTTTCCTTTTTTTTTTTTTTTCCTTTTTCCAAGGGTCTCATTTTTTTACATGAAGTTGGGGGCATTACACTACAGTTCTGCAGTGTTTACTCTGCATGCTGAATGCATTGTATATGGAGCTCTTACCAAAGATGTATGGGAAGATAAATATACTGAATTTGCTTCTGAAATCAAACGCTTTGGACCACTTAAAAATCACCTTAGAACAGGGTTCCAAAAGGAGACTTATCTTGTTGTGAGTTGCAAATGGGATTTAATGGGCTCTTGATACTAGAAGATAGAGCACTGATTGATTATAAACCTGTGCAAGTTAAGAGGCTGGAAAAACTAGCTTCACATGCAGTACAACAGCTCTTAAATCTCAGTCGTATAGAAGAAGAGGTAAGACTTCACTTAAGTCTTTTTGCCATTGGAATATCATTGCTCTATTTTCTAGCTTTTTTAAATAAGTTTTTTTTTTCTGTTGATGTAACTTAACAAATAATGTGGTGATATAAAGACTAAAAATACAAGAATATGGTTACTGTTTTCTTCTGGAGCATAAATAAAATAGCCAAGCACAAAGTAAATGCCTAAACTGGAAAACTTGAAGCTCTATTAATGGTTCTTGAACTTTCTTAAATCTATTCTCAGTCAAAATGAAAACTTAAATAACTTCATTTTCAGTCAAAGTTGATTTATTATATTTTTCTCTTGAAATGCTGGGGCAGACTTCCTTGCTAGACTTCTCATTAAGTTGAATTCACAATTTTGTATTTCCTTAGTAACTTTGTTACTTTAGATATTTTGTTTTTGTAGGTGAAGGAAACTGATTATGCTTCTGTTTTTTTTTTTTTTAATGTCTTTTGCGGGGGGAGAAAAAAGTTACTGAAACATGTGGCAGAGACTTCAAAAATAAACGGCCATTGCTACTGAACAAAACACAAAGTTTTCACTTTCCAAATGTCCTTTATAGGTTATAGCTGAACTTCACCACAAACTAGTGGCTATAAGGCAGTGCACATAGCCTGTAGGAAAGAAATGTGGCAATCTGTAAGAAATCCAACGATTTACAAACTGATCTGAAGTTCAAGTGCATCAATTTGTGTTCATGTGAATTTATGGAGTAAGTTTTGAATGACGTTAATCGTGTCCAATAAGTGAATGAGTTTGTAGACTGTGATCTCCCTGCCTAAAGTAACAGGAATTTTGTGTTCTCAATATGGCTGTAGTGTTGGTAAAGAACTAATAAGCAGAAAATAAAGCAATTATACAGTGGAGCTCTCCTGGTATGTTACTTATATTTAATTATGAGAGAAGCAGAAAGGGGCAAGATGGTACCAGAGCAGTGCTTTCTGCTGACATAAAGAGGTCTCTGTTCTATATTTCAGAGTTTTCAAAGCCTGTCTGCGATTCTTTCTAGACTTAGCTGAGTGACTATTTTTATAAACAGAGAGGACGATCCTCCTCTAATCCTCCCACTTTTAACTTAAGAGTCGTCTTTTAGCAAACTTCAGTGCCAAATTTATGCTGGCGTCGGTTGACAGCGCCGCGCGCGAGGCCTCGGGGCAGGGCTGCGGTTGGCGAATGCTTCTGTGGAAGCGGGGACAGGGAAGCGGGGACAGGGACACGGAGGGAAGCGGGGACGCAGGGGCTGCCACCGAGGGAAGATGTGGGGTGGAAAGTGCAGCTGCCTGGGGAGCAGTGGGGGTGAAGCTGGGACGTTTGTGCTGGCCAGGGAGGCGCTGAGGACTCGAGCGGGTGCGTGGGGCCAGCGAGGAGGCCGCGGTTTCTCACGGCCGCGGTTCCTCAGGCTCCATAACGGGGAGACAGAAACGTAGCAGGAAAGCCCAAGAGAGGCTCAGCGCGATGCTGGGGCGGCAGCCGGGTCGCGTCGGAGCGGCACGTGCCGGCAGGAGGGACCGAGGAGGAGGAGGAGGAGGGCTGCAGGTACCATCCAGCACCGCAAGCTGCAGCTGCAGGGCCGGGCACGAGTGACGTGGAGCTGTCGGAGTCCCGCGAGGCTCTAAGGACACTTGGTTGAGCGCCGTGGGGACGCGATTCCATTCTGCGCTCCGGAGCGAGGCCTCGTCCTGCAGATGAACCGGCTCCGGCTTCGTTAAACCAGGCAGGCTGTGGACAAGGCTCCGGAGAGCAAACTCCGTCTCGCCGAGGGCAGCGCTTAGTCATTTTTCAGAAACGTCAGCGCGGATCGCCTCAGCCCGGACCGCTGCGGAGCCGCGGCGGGGACGCTGCGCTCCGTGAGTCACACTTGAGCACTCAGTACTTCTTCTTCCCCAGTCACAGGGCCGCAGTCCTCGTGGACAGGGTTTGGAAAAAATCTGCCTGGCATCTCGCACTGGAAACTCATCCATGTCATGTCCCTCGCAGCGCAGTGTTCCTTGGATTTTATTTATTACTATTTTTTTTGTTTTACTAGTTACATCATTGAAAAACAACTAGCCACAAGGGCGTTGATCTGCGCTAGCCGGTCGCTCACAGACCCAAAAGTTTTTTCCCTCGTTACTGGGGACTTGAAGGAGAGAGAACAGCAGCCGAGACCGGAGAACTTGAATGCGGAAACGGCGTCGGCCTGGGCACCGTGACTCAGTCTCGACGCTAACGCAAGTTTGCGTTTTAGTCTGGGGTTTTGCCTAGTATGTGGCTGGAGGGCTGAACACGTGGATTCTTAAAGCACTGCAAAAGCAGAACTTTCCGCTGGCCCGGGGGAAGCGCGAGCGTTGGAGCCCCGCGCCGGCGCCGCGGGCAGCCCCGCTCCGAAGCCGCCTCGCTCGAGGCCGCGCGTTCCAGCAGATCCCGCCCCGCGTCAGGCCCAGGCACACGATGAACCCCACCATCGATCTCGCCTTCAAAATTCGGAGCACTATGAATAGTAGCATAATTTTAGCCCTGCCTTCAGTTTGGGGAGGGCAAAAACGGATGAGTCAGAGACCTGTGGTATTCAAGAGTGACTTTTTTTTTCCTTTCTTTTATTTTTTTCTGCTCTCCGTCCCTGTGAGGCAGCAAGGCTAACATGAACGACAGCTTTCAATGCCTGGTAAACTGGACGTGCTGCGTATATTCCAGGAAGCCACTTTCCCCTTGCTTAAGAACAGGTATCTCTGGCCTCCTTAAAAACAGAGGAGGAGGAAGGAAAAAAAAAATACGTGAAGGTATGAGTCATGCGGCGAGCGCTCCAGCTGCAGAGGCTTGCGGAGGGCTGATGGGCTCGGGCCGGCGTTCCTCCCAAGGAGAGCAGCTCTCTTCCAGGGGCCACACTTCATTTCTCTTTTTCTATGGTGCAGTTTGATCAGTTGCACCTTTTAGAACAGCGTTGGTGTAAAAAAGTGACACTCCTTGAGCGGGACTTAACTGGTGTCTGCGGCAAGAGCGGGCGGTGCAAGCGGGTCACGGTGGAGGGTGTCGCAGGGAGTCCTGGCTCGGCCCGGCCAACCCTCAGACTTGGTGCAAATGGCTCCCCTGTCCCCACGTGGCTGCGGGAGCAGGAAACTGAGGTTTAGAAAGCGAAGAGAGCTCCAGAGCTCGTTTCTGGCTGCACCGAACGAATCCCTTGCTTAAAAAAATAAAAGGGCGGCAGGCAGCACGTCAGGCGTGAGCTTCGTCCTGAATTTTCATTCTCAGAGAGCAGAGGTTTTGTGGGAAATCTAAACCCGGGAAAGCTGTGCAGCAGATGCGGCCTCGCGTGGACACCAGGCACCCAAACCCACCCTCGGGGTGGACGAGAGCCCTGGGGACGCGTGTCCTGCTGGGCACCCGTGTCCTTAGCAAGGGGGAGCCCGATGGGAGCAGGGGGGTGGC